TTACTAAGACATAAACGAGGACCATCGTGAGTACAAGCATATAAAAGTGATTAATTCTTTTAGCAAGCGGTGGTTAAGTCAGCATGACTTCAGCTAAGAAGTGCTGTACATCAAGTGCATTCACAGTTCTCCAAAGAAAGAATCTTCCGTATCAGCAAATTAATGTTGCAGTAGACCTCTAAATGATCAGCGTCTGTTTTCTAGTACACCTGTCACATAGTCAAGGCTGGTAATACCACCGTTAAACCACTCACTCAACGCAAGCTCTTTGATGGGGGCAGCATTCAAGTCAGGAGCTTCCTCCAACAGGAGTTCGTCCCAAGCAGAGGTTCCTGGCCTAAATTACAGACAGGTGGCAAGTGACTGCAGTGACTCTTCTATGGAAGAAAATCTCATGACTGATTTTACGGATAATGAGGCATCATCCAAATATACCAAACTCGGGTATGAGTCTATCATTACTGGACTGTAAACTCCTTATAAGCAGGGGTTAAATTGTACTGATCCCTTACCTGTCACCCACGACAGTTTGGGCAGTGCCAAGCACAGGTAGCTTTGAAATGACTGATCACTCGGTCTTGGCTGAACAGCCAAAAGTTGGCTGGGAGAGCTGGGACCAGCGAGCACAGATTTATGAATTAAGACAGTAGAACGAGAAGGTATTAACAGAAATACAGTCAGCACAAGGGTCGGGACCCTGGAGCTCCAAACACCAACAAGCCCCAATATGCCCTGCAATTGTGGTCTGAGGTGACAAGTGAGTCACCTTTCATAAAGGAAAGACCAAGTCTCGAATGAGCCGATGGTACAGATTTTGAGGTTGTTGACGGCAGAAGAAGAGGAGGAAAAGATAACCCAGGTGTTACAGACAGAAGTATCCTGGAGGCGGAGAGAGAAAACGCTGCAGACCCAGCCAGTCGCGCAGAAGCAGCGGTGGAGACGGTGAGAGTGCGACAGTCTGGGAGTGGCGCCCTCCACCCAGTGACCCAGGGGTGGCCCCTCAGAAGTTTGCCCCGACATGCAGGTTTGGGGGAAGAGCAAAGTTTCATTTAAGACAAAGGGACACACCTGGAAATAGCTGGACACATAAAAGTGTGATCATTTTACAGGCCAAGCAGGAAGGACAGCAGGACAGCGGGGGGTGCCGGAACACACTGGGTGAAGAGTTTCCACCGCCGCGGCCCGGGGTGCATAACCGGTGACAGCGCAGAGCAAGAGCCAGTGGGAGATGGCACGAAAGCACGGCGGTGGCTGGCGAAGAGGGTTCTTCGCCGCTGGTCCTGCTGCTGAGCCTCGCAGCGTCAGCTACGCACTAGCTCGAAAACGGCAGCGTCAGCTACGCGCTAGCTCGAAAACGGCAGCGCAACTTTCCCTTCCGGCCAGTGAGAAACAGAGTAAGTCGTTTCCCAGATTTTCAGCATGGGGAGTGGTGAGGCAGAGGAATGACTAAGAATTTAAAACTGTCTTTCCCACAAATTTGCCTGACATTATTGAAATGTCATAGCTGGCGACTCGTGGTTATCAACGAGGGTGGCAAAATAAAACTCACATTTCAAGTTATAACTAAAATCCAACTTCAAAAAGAGTCTTTTGCTAGAACTATTAAAATGCATCCCAACTGATGAGTTCGGTTCTTTTCTCCTTTATATTTTTAGCCTGCCCAAGACACTAAAAGCACAGATCTTAATGATTTGGGAAATGGTTAAAATATAGACACCACCCAAAACATGAGAAGTAGAAGGGTTCACAAAACAGCACTCCCCAAATAAGTCAGTGCACTTGGGGTTAATGAGGAAAACTTTATTTTTAGATATGAAGCAAAAAATAATTTCACACGGCTTTTTCAGCTACAAAAAAAAATTCATCTGAGAGCGTAACAAAGGCTGACCGCAGCCTCAGCACGCAGGTCACGTAACCCCTGTGGTCTGGCTGTGACTGGCAGACGCTGCTCACTCCGTGTCCTGGCAACACGGCGTGGCCAATGTGAAGGCTGCCACGGTCAGCGCCACGTGCAAGAGCGCATCAGCATGCGCGGCATGGGCCCCACACCTCCCTGCCCAGACCTCTACACTCCCCACTTGGCTTCTCACTTTCTGTCTCCAAAGATGCTGACGTTATTGAAGATAAGCGTAAGTTCGTGGGCGAGATCTCCATGGGACATCTTAACTCTTTCGTTATACCTGCACAATTTAATTTACTTTAGTTCCAATGAATATGAGAAGGCTCATTTCCAATCTGCAAGGGAAAGGAATGAAGCTGCTCTTGGTGGGTTTTCCAAGGATGGGGAGAGCTCTGGGCTCCTAACGCTGTCACACGTGGATCAGAAAGTTCCCCGAGGTTCTGCAGGCTTGCTCTCTTCACCTTGCTCTCCCTCGGCAACCCTCTGTCCTCTCTCCTTCCTTCTGTGCGCGCCTGTGCATGTGCGTGTGTGTGTGTGCGCACGCGTGCGCATGCATGTCTGGACTCTTCCAAGGCTATTTATTCCTTCTTTCCTTCCCTTTCGCACCTCAACAAGCTGGCACAGGCCCTGCTTCGCCCACTGCCTGTGACAGGAAAAAGAAAGAGATGTTGACTTAGCTGCCCCTGCATTCCTTTATGCTCAGACCTTTTCACGTGCCACGTGATCTCATTTCAAAGTAATTCAGGAGTTTGCGTAGATTTTCTGGACACATTAAGGGCTTGAAGTCAAACAAACTAAAAAAGTTATTTATTCATGGCAGAAAAAGAGAGCTATAGACATCTTCCTGCATGGATTCCTTACCTTCCCACCTCCTATTTGCTTAAAATATAAACAATCAGATACTTTCACTATAAAGACGACCTGTCTTATAGTATTATTCTGGATTGTTTATTTTAGAAAGTTTGGTGCAACTAGTTATCAATGCACCAAAGATATGGAAATGGCTTCATTATATGAGCTTGGTCTTTGTAATTGCATTTGTTTAAAAATATAAGGATGAACTATATAAATAAAATATGACAATTGCTTCAAAGTAATACCAGAGGATATATAAAATGCATCAAGCGGTAGACTTATGATTTGTGTACTTTTTTTTCTATGTGTACACTAAAAAGTGTACACATAAAAAAAAACAGGAGGGGAAGAAAAAAGGGTATGGTTGAAACAATATTATCTATGAGTTATAATCGGATGTTGAGTATTACTCTATTCTTGTATGTGTTTTCATAATAAAAGACATTTTAAAATGTTACCTATAAACCTAAGAAACTCAAGCAAATGTGAGGTTCAGATGCATGGTGTAAAAGCAGTACATCCTCTAAGACTAGATTCTGATTTAAAACATAGTGTGTTAAAAGGGAAGAATCTATATTTCTTTACAATTTTGCTAAAAGTGACAATAATTTTCCCACAAAAAATTGTTGGCATAATTATGAAGTACTTTACAAACTAAGATACGAGGTGTTCTAATACTGTCGAAAACTTTTTCTCATTTTGTGGCATACTACAATAAATTTAAGATTTTAAAAATGAGAAAGAATAATAAGATCAGCTGGTTCTGACAGGAGCAGAACCAGGAGTTCCAGGGTATTGTGTGAACAGTGTGTGCACAGCTGACCCATCGACCTCGCTGTGCTCCCTCCCTCCCCACCTCTCCCCACACCCTTAGGAGTCAGTGACATTCATCAAGCACTATGGACACAACTAGCAGCCCAAGAAAAAAGATCTTAAAAATAATGTTAAGTAGTAATTGCTTCATGCAGGAAAAATCTACCCAAAAATACAAGCCTTCTCGGTTTTCCTAATAAAGTCACTTATAACAGGCACATCCTGTCTAGCAGTTAATGGAGTTTGGATCCATAAAGAATATTTCCTACTTAGGTGAAGAACAGAATTAGTTGCACTGGAACACATCAATGAATTCAAATTTGTCTGGTTTTTCTAAAATGCCTCATCCCACTCAAAAGGATTGCGTGAATATCGTGACGTATCACAGGCATTCCCAACTTACAGAACGGTCATGTTTTAAAAGCTCATATGTGAATCAGGTTCCTGGCTGACACACACATGGGCGCACACCCTCCAACACACCTCACCCAGATCCACTACTGAAAGCTCCCTTACTCATCAGAGTAAATGCACTAAAGCAGAGTTTGGACAAGGGCGCTGACATTTGAAGGCTGGGGAAGTTCTAGAACTTAGTAAGGGGGCAGTAGTCACAGACCCTCCTGTGCCAACTGTTCCTACTGGGTCTCACAGATGCAGGGCAGTGTCTTGCAAGAAGATGGTGGATTGTAACTTCTAACAGGTTTATCTTCCAGAAATATAGTTTAAAAAAAAAAAAAAAACTTCCCAATAATCACTTTCAATTTGTATTTTTTAAATGGTTATAAACACCAAGAAAAAAAACTATAGGTTACTTTTGTGACCTTTAGCTACATGCAAAGCTATAGCAAGACTCTCTCGTCTCCAGCTGCAGGAGGAGGAGTGTGACGGGCCTGCTCAGCTGCGCAAGCGACGGCTCCTGGAACCGCCACGGCCCTTCCTCCTCCACAGCGAGAGGCCGCGCAAGCTACGGGACCAGTGCCTACGGAGAGGACTGCACACAGGGGTTCTACGTTTCTACTCCACCCAAACCACCTAGATCTCACTGCTTTGAAGATTTTTTAAGCCACAGAAGTGTTTTCATGGATGCAAGAAAAGTGTGTAAAAAATCAGAGATAAAGTAACTTAATTTCACATGCATATCCTTTTTCGTACGCCTATTCATTTGACATTTGAAAGAAAAACACACAGAAAGTCAAAATCAATACTTGTATAAAACTAACTACTCTATTAGGTCCAATGCCAATTTATAGTTGCTTTTTTGTGCTCATAATTTTATGAGTATGCTTCAATTACGCGGTGCTACCATCATATTAATATAATTTTAGCTGTACTTTTATAAAGCAGCTTTCCAGAGACCACTGTGGAATCACATCAGAATGCGAGAGTTCCCGACTCTCCTGGTCTCAAACTCGGCCGGGGCCGCACCACTTGCCTGCGTAGGTGTTGGCCTTGTTCAGGAGATCCGTGCAAGCGTGCATGTCCGCGAAAGCCCGGATGCCTAGGCAGTTGACAGGGTGAAGCTGGGACTCCAAAAACTCACAGCAAGTCTTCTTCACGTCCTGTAGCTGTAACAGACCAGCTGCCGGGAGAAGAACCTGCAACACACAAGCAAATATGCTCAGGCAACGAGCTGGAAAGTCTCTACTGACCACTCCACGTCGGGTACAAGCAGCTCAGCCACGGCTTATGATCTGCATCCACACTCGAATATTCCACAGAAAACAAATGCAAGAATTTCTGGCAACGTGCAATGGTAATGACTCTTCATAGTCCCACAATTTCCAAGGAATCCCTCAAAGGTCTCTTTTTGGTCACAATATAAGAGATATCAGGATGATGTTAGATTATAATGTTTTGTTTTACAAGCATTAAAATAGTGTTCCTTTGACTTTTAAAAAGACAAATCATTAGAATGCTAGGAGTGCTATGGTTCAGTGAAAACGCTTTTGTTTCCTTACAAGGTGGGCCCGGAGTAACACACACCACAACAAACCGCGTTTCTGAATGCCTGTTTTTCCACTGTGTGAACAGCACAACAGACGGCTTTCCTGATGGGGTAGAACAATTTTAAATTCAACAGTCTCTAGTTAAAACAGAGAGTTTTTCTATAATGTAATACCTGTGCTAAAAAGGAAAGCACAAAAGGTAATTGCCTAATAATAACTTTTTAATCTATATTTTTATTTTTATGATGCTAAGCAATTTTATATTAATTACAGGTTATTCTGTAGGATTTAACCTCCATCTTCACTATAAATACTACATCCCCCACTACAACTGCTTGTCAAATAGGTCAATAATGGAAACATTTTTCCCTGTGAGTCAGTAGAGTGCTATACCTGAAGGTCAAATGAAGGAGGAAAACTTCATTTAAAAAAATTTTCAAACATCTGTTGTTCTTTTTTAAAAGCCAAGGGAAAAAACCCCTCAGCTATTAGAACAATGGTCAATTTTAAAAAAGACGACATCAGCATAAAAAATAAATAAAATTTTCTAAGCTCCTTCAGGAGTTGACTTTCATATACAACATACTTCAGCCCAAGGAGAATAAAGAAATAGCAGTTTATGAATATCTTTTACAATTCTCCTAAATCTGTATAAGTCCTAAATGTGAAAAAGAAGAGCACTGATCTCTGTAACACAAACTACTCTTATTTTCTGGAGAACAGAAGCTTTAACTCTTGGGCCTAAAGACTGTGTGTCTGTACACACACACACACACACACACACACACACACACACACATAGTCAAAGAGTAATCAGTGGAATTAAGAGGGTAGTTTTTCATGTGTTTTAGCCCCCAACGCCACCAACTAGTATTAGTTTTCTCTAAAAAAAAAATGGAAACAGTATCCAGATATAATGCCTTTTCCTTCTGAATTTAGGACAAATAAAGTATAAATAATGTTGCTATAGCCAAACCTGTTGCATAACGTGTACAAGAAGTTTCATTATGTTACGAGAATGAATCCCCATGGAAGGCTTCAATTTGTCGATAATTTTCAAACTGGAGGTTTTCCGTGCTGGTGTAATTGTGCTCTGAAGCAACGTAAAGCACGTTCCAAGAGGCTCAACAGTACAGCCACTTAATTCAGCAAATACACATGGCTTAGAAAGTGGTCTTCAGTGTGACATTTAGTCTCTGTGAAATTGGCACAAATGGTAATCATCATCCCTCTCACCAGCATCTTCCTGAAGAAAACAGGGTAGTGCAGGAGAAAGCAGACTGTTGGTTCTCGCAGAAAGAGGGGAGAAGGCGGCTGAGCAGAAACAGGCTCATCCGCACACTGCTGGTGGGAGGATATATTGTTCAACCTCCACGAAGAACGTTTATTTCAAATTCAAAATTATAAACGCGCATATCCTCCGACCCAGCAATTCAATCTACAGATACACTGACATAGGCACAAAATCTCACATGAGCGAGATACTCATTGCCGCATTGTTGTGGGTAACATGAGAAGCTAGAAAAAGCCTAAGTGTTCATCATAAGGAGACTGGCTAAACGACTGCGATCATTCAATGGAAAACTTTGCAGTCATTCCAAAGAAGGAAAAAACTATATAAATGGGGCAATTTCTGAGATATATACCTCAGTGAAAAAAATAAGTGATTGGTATGTTATGCTAATATACACACCCACACTTATATATACATTCATCTAAAAGAGCAGCTATAGCAGGCTTTTAAATTTTATTTTGCTTTGATTTCAACTTCATCACTACCAAGTCCAGATCTACCTGATCAGGAGATCGAAATTCATAAAACCGTAGAATTTCTGATCCAGAAGGGCCATAACAAGTCGTCTGGGTCAGAGACATAAAAGCTCTTTCAACAGTGGTCCCAGTGGCTAGAAACTCACATATAATTTTTTTATTGACGGCAGTGATAATAGTTGCGTGCTCAGCAAACATAGTAAACATAACTTAAATTTGAGTGAAATGTGTAATAGGAGTTTATTCATGTTTTTCCTTTGTCAGTACATCCTTCAAAAATGCCTCAGTTTTATGATGTAATTTTACTAGGACTAAACTTCAACAGCCACAATTATGCAATTAATTACATCCAGTTTCAAAGGCAATTGCTAACTGACCCGGTTTGCTAGCATGACCCCATCAGTCACTCGTAATGAAAACAGGAAAACAGCTGGGGCCACACCAACAACTCCGGCTCATTTTGTGTATTAAATGGGCAGTTAGAACAAAACAAAATATAAAATGCTCTGATTTCAGATAAACCATATCCTATGATCAGAACCCCGTAAACCGGCACCCTGTAAGCTGGATGCTTTGGGATCAAATCAAATCAAATCCAACTTCCTGATTTGTGGGATGAAGAAACCAAGCCCTAACGGGGTTAAATGGCTTGGCCAATCACGGGGAGGGAGGGAGACAGTCAAACTGGCCAACTCTTTGGTCCGCTGTTCTTTCTGACTCCTTCAGCCCCTCCCTGGGTGCGGAATGGAAGAGCACGTATCATTTCTGACTCTCCAATTCTGGTCTTTTCAACAAGAGTGAGGAAGACACGACCGCTTCGTCAGCGCACTCTCGTAGTTGCTTCCATTTTCTGAGTCATCACTCACTGGGCGCGCGTTGGGCAGGCAACGCTGCCTCACTATCCCCACCACGCACCGAACAGAGGCCTGGGGAAGCTGCCTAACCTGCCAAAGGTCACACACCTGGGATGGGGCCGGCCAAGCCTGCTATGAGAGCAGTGTTAGCCAAAATGGGCATGATGATTTTAGACAGCACACAGAGAGACGCTCTTGTGTTAACAGGAATATATTTTTAAAGTTACCTTCCATTTATTTCAATAATATAAACATTCTGTTTCAAATAAATTTATTTAAGCAAAAACTGAGTCACTGCAGAGAAAAACATTAACTATTTAGTAGTATTAGCAATGCAGAATACAGCAAAATCATGAAGGTGGCACACAAATGATTGAAATTTGGAAAACTCTGACTTGGGAGATCAGATTTAATATTCTAATCTTTCAATATCTGATATCACTCTGATTCCTGTGGTTTTACATATCACTGAAAAAGAAGAATGTGCTTTAATCTGGGGCGATCACAAACCCACGGCTTATTTTCTACTCAAGTGGATAAACTGTGCTATTGGTAACAAACGTAAGAAACACCTAGCAATGTAAAGAGGTGATTTTTCATTTGCTATTTAGCTCACAATAAAAGGTCCGATGAATAAATTTATGTCTCTAAAACTGTATTTTCTGAGCTCTCTAAAGCAAAGCAGCAGCTGATAGTGCTGTCCCACACGGAATAGAATCACAATGACACAACAATCCCCAGCCACCATCTAGCAGAAAATCCCATTTATGCTGCTCTAGTATTAACCCCAAGATTGGCGAAAACAACCCGAAGGTACGCTAAGACCCTGAACTACATTCTGAAGCATCAAAGAAAGAGCACCTATGATCTGCTGTCTATTCTCAACGTCAACGACATACTCTAAGGATCCAGGAACGACTGAATCCCACACGGTGCGAACACTGAGTGCATGCACTTCCCAAAGCCAGAACATCTCTCTCCAGCACCTCAGCCTCCAGGAAAAATGTGAAGTGGGCAGTGACCGCAATGGGGCCGCGCCCCTCCTCCCCGCATCCTCCCCTAGTTCTAGTCCACCCGCCCCGAGTCTCCGCGCACCCGGCGCTCTCAGGCGGGCTAATCCCTTTCTGGCCACTATGGACAGTACCGCTTCATTTCCTCTGCTTTGCAGCACTCCCACTGTCAGACCGACCCGATGTGTCTGTTCCCACGTTCGCTGTCCCTCTCTGCAGAGGAGGACGAGCTCTGCGGCAGCAGGGTCACGTCTGTTTACCCCTGCTGTGTGCCACGTCCTGGAATACCTGGGCACCTCACTGTGAACCAAACCGAAGGTAAACTCGCCACTCCCGTGGGTATCTGTATTTTAAAAGATACAACTTTGGTGTCCTTCGAGCCAGAATTATAACCTCTATTTCTAGGAGTGTATCTGTACGGGATACTTCCTGTGTCCTGCTGCAGAGCCTCTCAGCTCCACCTCTTGCTCAGGCCGCGCTGCACCCAACAGGCCCAAGCAGGCTTCCATCACCCTGGTGAAGAAGGAACGTGAGGGTCCTCACCCAGCCCCTGCCACACTCTCCCTGGCTTCCCACCCCAGACTTCGGTGACGCACTGGGCACTCACCACCGCACAGCTGGGAGCACAGAGGAGATACTCGGTGGGGCCGCCCTCGGGAAGCAGAGAATAGCCCAAAGGAAGGCGAACACTTCCCGTTCTGTTCCCCAAGCAGACAGTCCTGAGACACATTTCCTAAGCCTCCTCGACACGTCCTCGTGGGCAGGCGCGATGGCTCATGCCTGTAATCTCAGTGCTTTGGGAGGCTGAGGCGGGAGGATCACTTGAGGCCAGGAGTTCAAGACCAGCCAGAGCAAGAGCAGGACCCCATCTCTACTAAAAAACAGAGTAATTATCCGGGCATGGTGGTGCACCCCCTGTGGTCCCAGCTACCTGGGGGGCTGAGCCAGGAGGATGGCTGAGTCGGGGAGGAAGGTCCTGGTGAGAATAAATACGCCACATTTGGCTGTGGCCACA